TAGGCGCACCCGGCGCATATCTGCGTGTGTATGTGGGGGGCGGGGACTTACATTTTTTTTTTCTTTTTTAATTTTTTTTATGATTCTTTCATTTTAGTATTAATTTTTTTTTTTTTTTACACACAGCTTTATTGCTATTACATGGGGGGCTAAGAAGCCCCCTATGTAATAGCCAATTTACATGACAGGTCCTCTTTATGGAGACATCAGGGGTCTCCAAGACCCCTAATGTCACCTAGGGACATTATCCCAGATCGGCTTCATCAGCTTCTGTAGCTGGAGAGTGACACTGAATGCAGGAAGTGATATAATATAATATTATATATATCACTATACATCACTTTCTGCATTCGGGAACTGAGAGGAGATCAGAGGGAGTTCGTATACTGAACTCCCTTTGATCTCCTGTCACAGAGCCGTGCCGGTCCCGGCCTCTCGTCACAGACGAGCGGACGAGTGGATTTTTCAAGCCCTGCTAATCACACACATATATACGTGTGCTTGTATATATACATAAACACTGAGTGGCCAGATTATTATGACCACCTGACGTTTGTAGGCAAATTAGCTATAATTCGCTATAATTTCGCACTGAAGTTGCTAGATTATATAGTATGTTGTATTTCAGCATTGGAAGTCTGGAGGTTACCAATTATTTAGCACTGAAAACAAAAACTGTTCAAGCACGCCACCAAAGTACAAGTAATCCCATAATCTCCCCTTATGCCTAACCCTTCACTAACCTGCATAGCCTGCATCCTAACACTTCACCACATTTTAGGAATTTACAATAAAGGTTGGCACTTGAGCATTATGTATAAAGTGTGCCTGTGCAGAGATCCCACATCGCAGATCACCGCACTGATACTAAATGATTCCTATTCCTAAAACAAATGTAAAGACAGAATAGATTCTGTTTAATGCCTTGAATGTAGTTATTTCAAGAGATGTAGCATATTTTTTTTCTCAAGAGCCATTCTATGCAATTAAATCTTTCACTTAATATATACATGAAAGTAAATGAATCAGCCCAAAGAAAAATGC